AAATCGTGCATGAGGACAACTGAAAGATTCGTTTGATGTGAAGACCATTGTTAGGCGAGGTTGCTTACTCTCACCCTTTCTCTCTGTCCTGGTGATCGACTGGGTTATGAAGACGTCAACATCTGGAGGGAAGCACGGTATTCAGTGGACAACGAGGATGCAGCTGGACGATCCAGACTTTGGAGGTGATCTGGCTCTTCTAACGTACATTCAACAAGAAATACAAGTGAAGACGACCAGTGTAGTAGCAGGTCTCAACATACACGAAGAGAAAAGCAAGATTCTACGATACGACACAACATGTGTCAACCAAATCGCTCTTGATGGAGATGCCTTGGAGGACGTAAAAACCTTTACATATTTGGGCAGCATCATCGGCAATCAAGGTGGATCCAAGGCAGATGTGAAGGAGCGGACTGACAAGGCAAGGACTGCATTGCCACACTGAAGGACATCTGAGACTCAAAACAACTATCAGCCAACACCTAAGTCATTATTTCAATACAAATGTAAAGACAGTTCAACTGTATGGTGCGGAAACTTGGAGAACTAGGAAATCCATCACATAGAAGATACAAGTGTTTACGAAGAGTTGCCTACGCAAAATACTTCGAATCCGTTGTTCAGACATCGTCAGCAACAACCTACTGTAGGAAAGAACAAAGCAGATTCCAACGGAGGAAAAAATCAGGAAGAATCACTGGAAAAGAATAGGACAAATATTGCAGGAAGCAACCAACTGTGTCACAAGACCAGCCCTCACATGGAACCCTCAATTTCAAAAGAAAAGAAGAATGCCAGGGAGCACATTACGCTGAGAAATAGCGACAGACCTGAGAAGAATGAAAAAAATTAGAAACAACTGGAAAGGCTAGCCCGGGACAGATTAGGTTGGAGAATGCTGGTCGGCGGCCTATTATGTAATTGGGGGTAAAAGGCGTATGTAAGTAAGTAACTAGGGCAAAACGGCAGTCTAGTGCTTGCAGGTTTCTTATGATGGTCTAAAATTTATCGATTCATGATTTCAATGAAACATAACAATCTCCACAACCCCATAACGAAACCTATTTATAGTATCAAAATGTTAAATATTTTCGATAATGTTCGTACTTATTCGGTTAAAAAAATAATTTCGAGATTCTTTATATCAGAGAAAATAAAATGATAACATATGATCCATTTTCCCTGAATCATTCTGCACTGCTAATAAACTGCCCAATTACTGGCTAATTCATCTTAAAATGGAATTATGTAATAAATCATTCGCTACGTAGTACCAAATGACATGATTAAATTTGAAGGGTTTATTGAAAGGTACTTGTCAATGAATACGATACGTAATGACATAACATTTTCGTTCTGAAAATATACAGTAAATATATGTATTTTCAATAGATCATATTTTTATCATTATGATTTTGAAAGTTAAAAATACCTATTAGTTCATGTAAATGTGACATAGGCGTATCACCTAAATTAATCCTCTGATAAAAGATAGCATCAGCTTGCATACTTTTATTTGATCATTATGTACGTTTTAACTCATTATCCTAACTGATTACAATTCTTCTCTAGTTCTGAGTTTTATAATTAATTAGATGAGTTTAACAATTCCAAGAGTACTTTAATGTTTCTTAGTACAAGTTGTTCTTTTTATGAGTTCACTAACATCTAAACAAATGGACCTTGTTAATGTTGGAAAACAATAGTTTTTGGTCGAGTCTAAGTAATATTCATTGGGTTTGAGATGGATCATATATTTTAAAAGCCATTGAAATATTTAGATTTACTTGACTCTCTCCGTACAAGATTCAATAATAATACTAAATTTATTAAGGATTCATGTTTACAATATATTTGTAATCAGGGTATGTTCAATTAGAGTTATAGAGTTTAATGTTTTTACACATTTTAAATCATCAATTGTTAGGCCACCATTAGAAACCTGAAAGCACTGGACGGCCGTTTCGTCCTGATATGAGACTCATCAGCAGTGGTCTAACAATGATTGGTTGATGAATTCAGATGTCTATATACACTATTGTTATTTTTATATACTTTAAACTTGTAGGCTTGTAACACGTAAATAAACTTGTACAACTGATGCCAGGTAGAAATTAAATACTGACGAAATAACGTAACCATAGTAACTGAAACAGTCTACAATGAAAAATCATATTTCCGTTCTGAGACATCTATAAAAAAAACTTATTTAAATCAAAATCTATGTAACAATAAACCTTGTACAGGTGGGAAGATTTTATTAATTGCTATTAAAATTACGAGTTGAATTTAAAACTTAGCAGGTTTAATAAAATTCGGCGAATAATTATTTGCTAATTTTAGACTTTTTATCGATTGGAATTACTTAGGAGAAAATTAAAAAGGAAAATTATAAGATTATGAAATGATAGTCATTTATTATTCATGCGAATGCTATAGGTTTAGTTGTGTTCTCCAATCTGAATGGTTAAATTCAACAGCTTTCATTATTGTTCTAGACGAAAATCATTAGCACTTACCTCGAGTAGAAGTGCCATGCATAGCATTACAAGGTTTAAAGGTGTAGAGCATTAAAGAGTCAGCGGAAGGAAACGTAAAACAATTTTTTTCACGGATTATTCTGCTCATCACAAATCTGTCATTATATGATCTGTACAGGTTACAGGTCCTTCATCTGAACATACTCGAATATGCGACACAAAATACTGCTTCGCTAAATTCAACCCAATTTCTCTGTGTATTTTCAGCATAATTTTTATTAATGGTTTTGAAAATACTAAACATTTTTGTAGACGAGAAAGCTTTACTAATTTTCCTTAGAATATTTTCATGTCAGGACGTAAATAATGACATAATTATTAATTCAGAGAAGCTCAAATCATAAACTCCAGAAATTCTGAGGAAAAAAAACATTGTTTAAAACTCTAGATGATGACTTTGCATTTTTGTATGAATAGCATTGTTTTTAATTTATTCTTCATGGAAATAAACATATTAAAGATTTGATTTCAGTAAAATCAAGTAAATGAACTCAATCAACAATAATTATCAATAATTAAGATTTGTTTGTTTGCTCTACTACCTTACACGTAGAAAACCTTTTTAATTATGTTAAAAACATAATAATCAATGAACACTGATAAATAAATGATTTAGTTCGGTAAAGCAATTAAATGATTGAACGCATTCGAAAGGAAGCCAGAGATTTAGTTTTCGTGTCAATCAGTTAGTTATTTATTAATTATGCAGGCTTCACAAAAATGAAACTCACTCAATTAGGCGTGAATTCGAATCGCTCATGGGACTGATTTATTAACAAATCTTACTTGATATAATATTCACCATCGTTTAACGACAAGTGGATTCTGTCGGTGAAATTCACCGTACGTTCATTAAAACAAAGGCTCGATTTTATGGAGGGAGAACTTTGTTTAATGTAGAATGTTTCGATAGAGTTGTGTGAAAGCTTTGAACATAGGCTTTTTTTGAGGGGTAACACAACACCTCAATAAATATTCAGTTTCTGAACTGTTTTCACATCTCATATTTTCTTTTTTGTGAAAACTCACAGTAAATATATTCAATTAGGGGGTTCGACAGATAAATTTATGCTCTTAGTTTGCTAGAATAATAATAAGCTATTAATTATATGCTTTTGAATGTCTATTGGAGTTCATTTATTACTGTTAACCACTTTCAAAACCTTTGTGTTGTTTCAGTACTTAACTCCTCCTATAAGACACATGGTGATAAGCACTTAAAAAGTCAATGACAAAACAAAATATCATGTAATTATTTATTTATTTATCTATATTAATGAAACACACAGTAGTATACATGTCAGAAAATAGAAAATCAATAAAATTGTATAGAATTGTTTTAAAAACGCAATTCCAATTTATAAAAGACAGTTGTACATTTATTAGATAATTTTATTCTCTTGTAGTTTTTTTTTGTTTTACTAATGATGATTTATCACCACCAGTTAGTAAAGCTCAGATAAACTGTACAAAGGAAAAGATTGAACACACAATATAATCATACTTGTAAAGGACAATACATGAAACAACAACAATATTAATAATAATAATAATAATAATAATAATACCTGTTAGCAGCTTGGGTTAGATGTGAATTTACGTAAGTGATTGTTGTCATTTAGAAAAGATTTAAAAATTGAATAAAATAAAACGGAAAACTTTGTGGGAACTTTACAATTGTTGATATCAGCTGTTGTGCCAGTAGAGAAACCGTAAAGTGAATAGAAATATAATGTATTCAATTAAATGGAAGATGAACTGATGTATATTCATTCATTCGTAATGTAAATAGTCAAGAAATTTACATGTTTAGTATTTTTCACACAATCAATTCATCAAGAAGATACAAATTCATCTATTATTTTCTCAACAAATAAAAGACTTCGAAAACTGTTTTAAAAAAAAAAAAGAGAAACAATATTCTCTCTTTTATTTCCTTTTATACTTTTTTCTATTCACTATCAGATGAATTACCAATTGACTTTATTTGTGTCAAGCAATGATAATGACTTTACAAAAAAAGGAATGTTCTTAAAAGTAGAAATTGGTGTGGAATTAACACAGTCATTCATGTTAAGATGTTCAAAATCGGGCCGAAAAATTTGACTGAAAGGAATGTGACGAAAGATCATGACTACTTAATTGAATTTACCAATTATTATTATTATTATTATTATCATATAATATCATGAAATAAACATCACTAAGAACACGTATACATTTTTTTACAAACAATCTTATTCATTATGTAACACAGGATAAACTGGCATGAGTTCAACATTCATATAGTATTCAACAATTTACATATCACAGGGTTAAATTAAAAACGCAGAAAACAAGTTCATCAAGTAGAATAATTTGAATAGAAATACGAATATGTAACAAGTGGAAAAAGAAAAAAAAAGAATGATTTATTTATAAAATTAATAAGAAAAGTAAACAAAACAAAACGCAGAGTTAAACAAATTTCGTCAAATGCCAATTATGCCATAAATAATTATAGATTGTTTGATTTTCGTCTTGAATATTCAAACGACCTTGACCAAAAACATCATTCATATTTGGTAAATCTAATAATAGTAATGATGTTGAAAGGAATTGTTTTCTATTTTCACTACCATATATTGATGTTAATAAATTTAATTCAATATCTTGAATAGTTTGATTACTAGCTCCAATGTGATCTAATGATTTCAGCCGTTCTGGTGTAATACATGTCAATGATATAGCTAAATAATACATAGCCAATAACGATAAATTTGGATAATTCGACGACTTCATCTGCCACCATCGATAAGGATCTTCTTCTAATCCGATTGGCTCTTCACGAAGATAACGATCAACTTCAGATAGAGAGGTACGCGGAAAATAATTCAAACCAAATACAGTTTCTAATCCACTATGTTTGTTTGATATGGGGGCTGAATCGATTGAAGCGGTTGTAGTTTCAGACGGCAGTCGATTTTGATTTGATTGATTATCAGAATTCGATGTAGGTGTATTCATATTCACATTACTAGTAGAAGACTGGTTGAATGTGTGATCAACCTGAAAAAAAATCAGTAAAGAAATGAAATGTAAATAAAGACATACTTTGGTAAGTATAATATAGAAAACTCTATTTTATTGATTCTGTTCGATATAATGATGATACACCAGCGGCTTAGTTTTAATCTTATGTCTACTAACAATATAATTTCAGAAGTAGACTTCAATTTACCAGGTTAACTAAAATATCAATGAATAAAATTTTAATGTAAATAAATACAAAGAACACCAAATTACCTTGGTTTTCAACAATTTAATCACTGATGGTTTTTTATCTTGTACTTGACTTTTGAAACGTGGATCCAATAAACTAGCAATCCATAATGTTTCGTAAATTGTACCATGATTAGGAAAAGAATTCATTAAATAGGATACAATTGTTGACTTGAATTCTTTAACAATAGTTGAATTTGATGCATCATATGCAAGACGTGTATCACATAAATTTGTTAGAATTGGTTCAATCATTGAACCAGTTAAAATAAGATCTTTTTTATGAATAAACTCCAATGTTTGTCCGATTGTCTGTTATAAATTTAAAAATACAATTTTTTGAACGCTGCTAATAAGTTGAATGATAAAATAAAATTAGATATAACAATGCCTTAAACAATTCATACAATATAAACTCATTTACAAGACAATTTGACTATGGCTTGAATAAGAAATAGTTTAACTATTTTTAACCATTTAAACATTCTTTGACTGGAGTAAAATTTAGATGAAATAAAATCATGATCACAATAATTCATGGTTTCAACATAGAGTTTCTACTTGACAGACTGTTTTATTTTAATCCAGAAAGTGACTATCGTTTTTTTTTGTCATTAACATTTGTAGCATTGTTGTGATTACATTACTCAACTTAATATCCCGTTAGAACAGATGGAATGTGGTTAGCTGTAGAATCCAGGGCTCGAGTCAACAGGATTACTGAATTCCTCCTCCATCTGTTCTATGTCAACTTGTGACGTAATGGCTATACCAAGGCAGTCCGCATAGACTGCATATATGTCAACCGAAAACGGTATAGTTGAAACAGTTTAAAACTGATTTAACATATTTACCAAATCATATACCTAATCTTTCAAGAATAAATGTATGATTACTTGTCTAATGTATCCCGTGCTTCCCCTCATATGCTGACGTCTTCATAATCCAGTCAGCCATCACGAGAAAGAGGAAGGATGAGAGTAACAAACTTGTTTAGTACCGGTCTTCGGTTCGGACATGTCTGTGAGCTGTTCTCTTAGCACAATTTTGCATCCATCATAAGAGTTCTGAATGACGGTGACTATTCTATCAGGCACAGTCTATCACCAAAGAAACCTCCATAATGTCATCCTATTCACGCTATCTAACGCTTTCTCGTAGTAAATGAAGTTGATATACGGTGATAAGATAAATGTAAACTGCATAAACACCACACTAATTAATCTCTAAATCAAAATTATGTAATACCCTAGACAAACCAAATGTTCCATAATGCCCTGGAGAGAGCAATTATCGGTTATCCCTTCACTCACTGCAACTGAGTAGTTTCGTTAGGCTATAGATAATGTGACGTAAATATAAGTAAATAAATCTGTACCTATTACACTAGTAAATTAAGAGGAATAATAATTGAAAAATCAAAGTAGAAACAAATAATAAATTTAATTTAAAAAATGCTAACTTACACCTAAGACAGAAATGATTCCTTTTATCGTTTCCATATCGATTTCATTTAGACAATTTTCATTTGTATCCATCTCGTCACCATTAATGAAACCTTCATGATTATTATTATTATTGTTATTATTATTATTATTAGTAGTAGTATTATTATTATTGTTATTATCATTATTATCTTCATCAAATGAATACTTATTTAAATACCAGTTTAATAAATCATAAACAGCTTTACAACAATGTAATTCTTTAACATCTAAGTTAGACCTGTTAAATGAATATTCTGTGATATTTTCCATTGTTTTACATTGATACAATTTTAATAAGTTCTTCATTAAATTTCGAAATATGTCGGTATTGAGTCCTACCTTTGTAAGAGAAAAGTGAGAAGGGACAAAAAAGAAGAGATTTATAGTACTGAACAACAATGAATTGTGACAAGTTCGTCTCATCGTAAGTACTGTTGATTTAAATTTATAAAGGATTGGATCAGCCGGACGTTGACGTTCATGTCTCAATTCTAGCTCCAATCTTAGGTCGGTCTATGTAACTTCTGTGCATATTGCTTTAATACTGTCACTGCCTACAAATTTTTCATCAGGCTAAATGGTGACTTACAGTGGAATCTATAACACGATGTTCGATTCAGTTTAAGAAGACTCAGAAACTGAATTTACACGAATCTGTGTTAAATTTCTCACCGGGGCCTAAAACCCAATAATACCTTTTGATTCACATATGCGATGGGCAATCCATTAAATTATTATTAAGTTTAGTTAGTTATGAGCTTGTGAAACGTGTATAAATTTAATTTAATTATTAAAGGTTTGAATTATCCTATTGTTAACATGCTGAAATAAATTTTAATCAGTCCAATATGAATTGCCTCGACTCAACTGCTAGCCATAATATACCTATGCTAAATAAGTTTTTATTTACCAATTTATTTATCATTACTATTTGTAAGTAACAATTATTTTTTAATGCATGTTGGCTTTTCATTATTGAACAATTTAACAAGCTGCTTTTTATCAATTATCTATTAACTTTTTTGGCATGTTATTAATAGAAACAAAGTCTATCACAAGTAGTCAGTCATAAATAAAGAAAGCAAAATCATTAATCATTGATTTTAATCTGTATAACCCTCATATCTTGTACAAAATTTTAGAATAGAATATGTTGATAAAATTAATTGTTTAAGCATGTGTCGTCTATAAATGTTTATAGATAAATTTAGATCAAACATATACATGGGCATCTATTTATGAATAAGGTGAAAAGTTGTTGTGTTAATGTAGAATTTCATCTGCATGATTAACAAACATGATAATCTCTTATCAATTTGACAAAATTCAAGAATTAGTTACCAACTCAATTAACTGATTTATCTAAAATGAGGGTGGAATTGAAAAAGTTTTTTTTTTATTTTCTTATAATTTTGTTTATACAAGAAAAGTTGTATGCATTAGTAAAAATTATTTTCTAGTCAAATTGATCTACTGTTTTAAAAAATCGTCAAAAGATATTAGAGTCAATTGAAACTATTAAAAAAGTTTTCACACATAATTTTTCTAGTACTAAGTAGAACTAGCTGTTACAAGTTAATTGACTAAAAATGAAACTTAGTTATCATACGACAAACTTCATTAGCTTACGTTGTACAAATCAATGAACTGTCCTTTTGAACAATGTTATTTGTACGTTATGTATTCATGACCACGAGAATTGGATGACAAATAACTTTGTTTGTATTTTAAATACGATCAGTTGTATGGTAAATAACGGTCAACTAACGCTTAGTTGTGAAAGTTATGTTCATTTAGAAATATAATTTTTAATATAATTCGGATTGTAACTGTCAATTTTCAATATTAATATCGTTGTATAGGCAACTGCCAGAAAGCCTGAATGATGTTTTATTCTTGCTGATACAATTTTGAAGGAAAAGATATTCCTTGTGAGAAATGAATTAAAGTTAAAGTTACAGATGTTTCCATCCAGTTGATTTGACTATAACTAACTTAACATGAAAAGCATTATGAAAGCAACTTCCAGCTACTTGAACTGGTGATGTAGTGTGAATTAATTCATAGAATTTGATCAGCTTTAAGTGAATTAAACATATGTGGCACTGGTTACTACCACTACTACTACTAATACTACTACTACTACTACTTGTACTCAATAATGTATATGTCAGTTGGTGAATCAGTGAAAAATAAATAATGTTAATTAGAGTCCTAAATTTGATGTCGATTCATGACAATAATTAGTAACATAATGATAATGTAACAACCATAGTAATAGTTGCAATATCCCAATCAGCAGAAAATTTAAAGTTCTAACCTTTCTCCGCTTAGTGTAAGTCAATGATACTGAGTTTTAGTTGCTTCAGTGTTCAATATATATATCGAAATTCCTGTTAGTAAAACTAGGAGTTGCATGCAAAATGCATGGTATTGTATACGCTGTTTAAAGTGAAGAGAATTAAACATACAACAAATTGTTAATCTTTGTTTGAATCACTTAAATAAAATCGTTTATACGTGTCAAAATAATAAGTGCAGTCACAAATACAGTATGACTTAAGCATATGAACTGTCATATTTTGCAATTAAGAAAAGAAATACTAATTTATACAGTTCAAAAGTTTGTTTGTTTATTTGAACAGGTTCATATATATTTCTCTGAACTCAAACTTTTCAGCCTAATGGAAAAGAGTGTTGTGTTGTCAAGTTGATTCCATATAATTTGAAAATATTTAATTAAAATTTGACTGAAATTCAAATAAAAATGTTTGACTGACCTTAGAAGCATTTTCTTTAGATCGATGATCAATATTTATTTTTAAGGTTTTATGAAACTACATTGAACTTTTAAAATGATCATAGTAATAATATTCTTATTTACGATAATGTACTTTATCAGTTAATATTTCATTTTAAAACATCTTAATTTTTATAAGCACATGAATAATTACATTTGTAATGCATTATTCATGTGTTCTGTTCCACTTCGTTTATATTGTACATTGGTCTCATAAGTACACAGTACACATATCATAAATGTACAAAATCTATTAATTTGTGAGAGAAAAATTACATTGTAATAAGAAATTTGTCTATTTTTATGCATTCGGTTTTTTCTCACCATCCATGATGTTACTGTTATTATTAGCATTTATAGTCTCTTTAAAGTTCTTTTTTAGTAAAATTATTCACAAGAATGAATAATAAATACTATTATGGCGTTATTGATAATCTGTCTTTTTTTTCTTTTTTTTGAAATATTCACCTGGTTATTTTTTCATTATTTAAGATTCCATATAAAGTATGCATTTCCAACTTATATGATGGATCACGTAATGTGTAAAATGTGGAAATTTAAATGTTTTTTTGAATAGTGATACTACTAACACTATTACTACTACTAATAATAATAATTATCTTAATCTTGATTTGAAATGTGAATGTCATGATAATTTCATTCAAATAGAAGGTGAATATACAATAACGATTGTTATTACTATTTTCATCGCAAATACTAATAATACTTATTCATGTTACACTTATGAGAACTAATGATTTCATTATGGTAAAGTGTACTTTTAAAAAGAATGTATATTATCACATCATAAATACAGTGTATGTGTTTAGTTTATATATAAGTACTAAACTTTAATTATTATCAAATAAATTGTTTAATTGATAAATTACTGAATATTCAATTACTGTGATGCAGATAATAGAGAGTATTGGTTGATTATATGGGACATTTTCTCGCTCTGTGATCCTAGTTCATTGTACAGATTAGAGTTTTATCGTTGTTCAAATAAAGGACTGCATCTGATGATTGAATTTAACTTTTTTCATATGTGCCCAACAACACATTCTCAAGTCATTTCACAGACTAGACTATAGATGGATAGATGTTTAATAAGTTATAATTTTTCACACTTAAGACTAGATAATATGCTCAGTGAACGGTGTGGTTGATCTCTGGACTTAGTGGCTAAAAAGATAATGAGTTACTATTAAGATCGAACTCAACCAGGTTTGAGTTGTAGTGTGACGTTCAATAATTGGACCGACGTCTGCTGAACCGATGAGTTCCAAATGGAAAAAACTAGGTATCTTGAATCCTACTTCCAATCCCAATCCAACTATAATGCTTCTAATTAAAGCCATAATATACACACTCTAACCTGTTAAAAGAACATTTTTTCTTATTAAATATTTCATGAAAACTAATTCTAACTTGATAAATCAACTGAATCAATGAAAAAGTCAAGATATTTTTTCTTTGCGGAATTAGTATGTTAAATTGTTAAATCCGTCTTTGATAAAATGATACACACGAACTTAATACACTATACAGTAACTGGAAAAGAAAAATGCTTTGACTAGTATTATGCATTGATTCATGATTTCTTAGCTTTTTTCATGCATCACATCAGATATTTTTCATGTTATATTCACTAATTATACTTTTACATCAAACTGAAAAAAGTGTAAATATAAACTTACTAATAAAGCTTTCGATAATTCTGATACAAGACATGGTAATATGATCATATTTGATTTAGTTTCATCAATCATGTTTCTCAGATATTCAGCATGATTAGTTACAATTGTTACTGGCCATTGCATAATTTTCAGTACTGACTGAGATTGTTCCGATATTTTGTTATCGATTTTTTTATCAGAAATCTCCGTTGATGTAGTTTCCGATGATGATGATGATATGGTCATTGTATTCACTTCTGAGGATGTTGTTGAAATTTCTGTTATACCATCACTTAGTGGAGATTGAAGTTTAGATAATAAACGTTCTCGGCATTTTTCCACCGCATCAAGTAAATTCGTTCGATTTGGATTCTGAAATAATGATAATAACATTATTTAAGCAGTAATAATTATTTATTTTATTCTCTAAAATACTGCATTACATTCATTATACAACTTATTTAATAGCTTACTCTAACAAATCAATGAAATGCTATTTTAGTGAAACCTATTCAAATAATTTAATTCGGTCAAATTTTCGAATAAAAATCCAATTTACGTTCGATCATCTCGGAAAAAATAAAGATTTCTTATATAATGATTAATGAACTCGGCCTGTCATTTGGAGGTAGATAATAATTACCATATAGACATTAACGACTCTTTCCAATTTAATACTGATCGATTTATATCTTATTGATTTCCATCTCTTTTGGATTGAATTATTCGCGAATTAATGATAATATTCAATGAAATACACTTAACTATTTATTATTATTACATATGCTATAGCACTTTTACTCCTTGTGGTAATTATCATTACTGAGCATGACCATATTGATAATTTTGATAAGTATATACCAATAAATGGAATTTCTATTAAATCCTACTGGTAGATTGTTGTGCATTATTGTAAAAACAATTCACTTTGTTAGTTCAATATTAAACAAAAGAACACGGATTTAAATTAAAATGTATTATTTTGAAGAAAAAAATCACTGAATTATGAATACTTCTTACTTGTATAGATTTGTATAGATAATTATGTGTTATTGTTGGCTGACTAGAAATATAATGAACACCAATGTTGGCAAATTGTTGCTTGTTTTCAGTAGTGATACAATCTTCAGATGCAGTATTATTATTATTACTTATTGTATTCCATAATTCAATTGAAAAACTAACTAGTGGATTAAATGAATTATCTTGCATCATTCTATTATCAAGTAATTCATTTAAATGATCTTCTATTCTAGCATGTAATTCAGGAAATGTGATTTCGGAAATTTCTTTTATAGTCGGTAATTTATGATTTGTGAATAATGATAACAGTTTCTGTAAAATATAATAATATACAAAACATAAGATCAATGTAAATCAATATTCAATGAAAATGTTAAACTTAGTAATATTGATATTTGAGCGAGTGATGATTGAAGTTCAGAAAATTATTTTATTTAGTACAACATATTAGTCTAAATGAAAACAAACTTATCAAATTGTTGGGTCTTGAAATATTGAATTTTTTACCAGATTCTATTCCCTCAATGTCAGTTTAACTTAGAAGAATGAAATACTACTATAAAAAAATTTCGCGTTCAAGGTTAATTTCGTTATACAGGTTAGAGGTTCTTTTTATTGTTATGAGTAACATTAAAGTTTAAGTACTGAACATCCTTGAAGAAATGATAAAGTCAACCTTAATTAGTGTACTCGACTAATTATATTTGGACAAAATGGAAATTCATTAGCTTTTTAAATTGAATTGGAAAGTTTTTGAAGATACATTGCAGTTTCTTAGTATTTCTACAAATATTCATTGAAATTCATTAAGCATTATTTAGAAATGTACTGAACTGGTTTAATTTTTTGAAAAATTGACGATTATCAAATGTGATTACAGTATTTTGGCTATCTCGATCGAATGCTTGTTAGAGTGATATTTCATTTACTTAATTATACTAAGAAGGAATCAAGCCTAGGAATTTAGATTGATTCGGCAATAAAGTTAATTTATTTTCTGATGATTACAGTTATATAAAAAGAATGATATTTGATTAGGTGATGGTTATTCAGATTTAAATAACGAACATTTAGTATTTGAATACAAAATAAATATTCATATGTAATCAGTGTCTGTCTTCCTCTTTATGTTGAACCGTATCGCTTATGTTTCAGTTAGAACGAATTTAAATTTAATTCTAATTCAAAGAAACAAATAATCACTCATTACATGTTAAAAAAACAAGAATTAACTAGAATCAGTGATTTTAAATCTCCTTAATGATAAAAACAGCAATACTTCAGGATTAAAAAACAAAATAATCCTTTTGATATCATGAAAAGACAGCAGCCAACAAAACAAATCACACCAGAAAGCAGTTTTTTATTCAGATCTAGAATGTTCGGGTTTGGTAATGACAGCAATAACTTTAGTTCGTTCAGTGCATCTCGGAAATCCTACTACTAATACTAATACCATCATCATCAGTGATTTTCCGGCTGATCACAGAGAGTCTGTGATGAAAAAGGTTTCTGTAAACAATTTAAAGTTTTGACTCACCTCTCAGTTGAAAATTGTATTTACTTAACAACAGTGTTCTATGACGACATTCTTACTCTTAAAACTATAGATTTTCATATTTAATTTCTTAAATAATTTTATCATACTCCATTAAAGAAATAAATTGAATTCCTTGACATAAAGTTCTCAAGTATCATAAGTTGATTTAGTTATTTCTTTGAACAATGAAATTATATATATATATATATATTTATATATAACATGAAAACTATTGAAAGTATACTATTCGACATATATATATATATATATATATATATATATATTATTTGTTAGAGTGATAGGTCAAGTATAAAAAACAATTATGCTAGTGCTGTAAAGATAAGTATATCTATATTTAGTTGTAAATTTTAAAAAAAACATTTATATTTGCCAGTAGTAAAAATGAAAACATCTCTAAAAATAAACATTATATGCATTACTAAAGAGGTCAAACCAAATCCAGCAGAAAAAAACATCAAGACAGATGGGTTGTTTCTAGGCTTCGACAGATGATGTATGTGTCGTCCAGTTACAGAACCACTGATACATACCTGTACAATAAATAAATCCTCGTATACACATATACACTTGTACACATGCATACTACATACTCACTCCCTATTTTTTTTCTGTTCTCGAAACAAATTTTATTTGTATCTTTAGCGATAACAGTAGTATTTCCATAAGTTTATTCATGGTACAAAAATACAAAAATATGAAGAAAGTTAACGATGAGTATTGAAAACCCGTATCATCGTTGATAGAAATGAATCGAGAAAATGTTGATAAGTTGTTTAACTATGAAAAAGGTAGTGAATTTTAAGAACGATAGATAGATAGATAGATAGATAGAATGACAAAAAATAAACAGTAACTTTGTATCACACAACATTTATGAAAACATCATATCGTGACAACCATGACCGAAATCATGTTCAGTGTAACTAGATTAGATATGTAAATGCAAACAATAGATGAATTTTTCATTTTAGAGAAATCACTGCTACGACTTCTCCGGGTAGAGACTAATACTACCTAAACGATGTTCGATTAGAATATTAAGAAAGTATTTACAACCAATCATCATCACTTACTAGCAACTCTACTTACTGCTGCTAGTTCTTTACCTACTCTTGTCAAAATTTAAATGCGGGTCGAATTGTAACTAAAATGCAACTTAATTTTTACTCTATGTGAAAATAAGAAAAAAGGGATAAACAAATTAGAGAGCGAGATAGAGAGAGAAAAACAGAAAAAAAAATCAAAAAATATTAAATTCATCAACATAATTTTGAATAAGTAATTAGTCACATGTATTATATATATATATATATATATATATATATATATATATATATATATATATATATATACATATTGGTTCATCTAATGTAGGCAACTAGTAACTAATAATATTTGTTGAAATTAGTGAAATTATCATACATTTCAAAATAGAAAATTAGATCAATTGAATGCATTTACATTGTGTTGACAACAGACTAGAAAAGAAAATCAATTTAGGTCATCAAAGTGTATACAGGATGAATGTGTATTATTTGATTAAAATTAAGATAAAATATATTCAAAATAGATTTTCGACTTTGGCTATTCCATTTTTTGAAATATAGGTCAAAATGATGTCTATGCACAGTATCAAAATAGTAACCTGCGTTCATTTTTAATTACGAAGAGATGAGCAGATATTATTTTTTTTTCATAGTTTCAAATGGATACTTAATTGTTTCTTCTAGATTCAGTTATGATTGTACAAATTTACATACCCACAATTTTCAGGTCTTTTGACTAGTGCTTTCACTACTAAAGTTATGACTTATAAGTAATCTAAGGTTAACTGAATTATTGATATCATGAATTAATCAATTGTAGACCACTATTAGAAACCTGGAAGCGCTAGATGGCTGCTTCGTCCTAATATATGACTCATCAACAGTGTGCATCCAAGACCCCTGAACGCGGGAATTGAACCCATGGCCGCGAAAGCTTAACCTCTAAACGACTCAGCCAGCACCCGACGATGTTAACATTGATCGATTCATTATTTTAAGGAAAACCAACAATCGCTACAACTCTTTAATGAAAATTAATTTCTTTGAATTGTTCAGTAGTAGTTAGTCTCTTAAGAACTTAAATGGTATGGTCATCCTAACATGTGTTTGTTTTACTCTCATTCTGTTAGTTAGCTTTCTTTTGCAATCTCTCCAAACTTACAATAACGTTTGATAGCTGATCATCTGAACTGCTGATAATCTGTCATTAAAAGTTTACGTTACTGGGAAAGGATATTTCGGTCTCTCTGCAAATATTGTATATTTATCGCTGTTGTGATATAGATGACTCATGAAACGTACTGTACTGTATAGAATCTTAAAGCATAGCATAAACTAATATTCTCTTGAGATATGATTATTACTTCTGATTATAATCTGTTAGACCAAAATAGAATTGACTCATTTATCTAATGAAAATGAAATTTGGAATGCATTTAATCATCGAACAGTAAAATGAAAAGTAAAAATCAATAAAAAAATTCAACATACTCGAAAGCCTTCACCATCAATTATTTCAGGAGGTTTGATATCTTTAATTAAATATTGAGCGACGTGATAAGATAATTGATTACGCGTTACCGTAATATTCGGTTTTGATTGCATAATCGTATTTCTTGTTAACGAGATCGGTGAAGTAGGTGACGATGACCGATTGACAGTCGGCCTATGATCGTCATCACTGTCATTTTCTTCATTATCTTGTTCATGTATATCTAGTGCATTTCGCTTTAATTCCCAACAAGATTTCTTATCATCAATACATAAATCAGTGTTTTCAGTGTTGTTTATAAGTGAACTGGTTCTTTCTGTATGATATCGTTTCATACTCATGTCTTCACCATCCATTAATTGGTCGGATTCACTGGAACCACGTTTCTATAAAAAGAAATGAAGAGAAAATTTCAAACAAACAAAAAAGTCATAAAAATTGAATTGACGCCATTTAAAAAGTTTTATGCATTCAGATAATAAGTTGATGATAATATTTCAAAATAGTTTAAATCATCAAAATGAAATGATAGGTCATAGAAAGTAAATGTAATCAATGAATTGTAACAGACAAAAATGATTTTGTTTGAAACAAATATCACACCATCTATTTATGACTAAATATGCTTCTAAATTGATAAGTCTTGCGTTCGGCTAAATAATTTTTTTTCTTTGATTAAATAATGAAACGTAACGATTAGTTTTCGTAAATAGCTTAACATTATGATCATACTTAATATTTATGCATCAAACACCATATCGAATGCTCACCATAGAATCGAACAGATGAAATATATGAAGTTGTACTTAAATCATGCATTGAATAATAATGATAGAAATATTAGATATGTATTTTATGAAATATTTGTATCATTTCTTCCATTATGACCTTGATTACAAAGCATTCGAGATGTTTGTATAGTAAATTTCAAAAAAATCCTGGAATCACTATACGGCCGTTTTGTCCTAGTTTGGAACTCATCGACAGTGCGCATCCACGAACTCTGCTTGCGGATATCGAACCCAGGAGCTTTGGTTTCGCGCGCGAACGCTTAATCTCTACAGCACTGAGCCGGCATTAAACGGTGTTAATGCCTAACTAAGGATTTTAAGTAACCTCACTCATTGTCTTCAGTGGGTAACTGCCCTATACCCAAACAGCTTGAACTCCTCTGATCAGGGCTTCTCACTAGAACTCTGAACATTTACTCTAGAAGTTAGTCACTAGTGAACACAATGGATTGATTCACGATTCTAATGAACATGGTTGGGACGAATTAAATCAAATAAATTTCTAATAAATTATTCTTTGACTATACTGAATACTTTCAATTGGAGAGGACACTTTTTCATTTTCACTGTAAGTTACATCTTTTATTATGTGTGTTCCAATTAACTAACAAAAACAATATCGTAGATACTGTTTAGAAAATGGGAATAAAATATTGATTTGTGATTTTAAATATCTCTTCATCTGTTGTTTATTTATATGATAAAATTATGTTGGCGATTATAATTTTTAAGATTTCAATGAAATCTATTTAATACAATCTACATTCTTAGTTTCAAATCTGAAGTTTACTCACTGCAACCTAAATGATCGTCTATGCTGGTCTAGTTTAATTTATAGAAATTTGTTCCTGATTTCTGAGCTAAATTTTTTTATTGATTCCTCATTTATTATTCATAAAATTGATATCTGTTGTTGTTTACTCATGCATGATAAGCACAATTTGATTTTTCTCCTGTAGTTTTGATAAAACAAACAAAAATACTCAACAAATAATCAGATAAGTTAAAACAGTCAAAAATGGTGAGTCAATACATGGTTAACACTTTCAAGTAACAATTATCATGTTGGATTCTATATTGCATTAGACAAGTTATACTATGATGTTTTTCTTTACTAAATTTTAACTGACTTTATAGCTCTTTTCTATCACTTCTCATTCCAGTTTACATTGAATAGTATTCACAAAAACTGATGTAATCCAGTTTACATTACGGGGTTGTGAAGATTGTTAAGTTACACATTTTTTGAAACCATGAATCGATTAATGTTAGACCACCATTAGAAACCTGGAAGCACTGGACGGCCGTTTCGCCCTGGTATGGGACTCCTCAGACGTGACCAGTGGAGTTCAACCTGTTCGGGTGTAGGCAGTGTCCACTGAATACTGTGTATGAGGTTGCGCAACTCCGTGAATTTGATCAAGTTAGGCATTAAAACCGTTAGATACCGGCTCAGTGGTCTAACGGTTAGGGCGTTTGCTCACAATACCGAAGGTCCTGGGTTCGAATCCTGCGGGGTGCACGAGTCGTGGATGCGCAGTGCTGAGGAGTCCTATATCAGGGCGAAACGGTCGTCCAGTGCTTCCAGGTTTCTAATGGTGGTCTAACATTGATCGATTCATGGTTTCAGAAAAATGTAATCCAGTTTAGTAAACTTGAATTTCAATGAATAGTTGCACATTCTGTAATTATGTTAAAGAAAATAACAGTAGACAGGAGAGGACATTTAACTCCTACCACCTGTTATCAATAAAAACAATCCAACTTCCCGTGCATATTTTACAAGTAGGATTTGTTGTCGATGAACTAACTAACTATTTAGCAACCTCTGTAAGTACATAAGCATTTCATCTATATTATATCTGTGAGATAATGAAAGTGATTTAAATCTAAATCCTTTTAGTAATTATTGTTTGTGTATAAAATTAAAAAAATGCCTATATCATTGTTTATTAAAGTGAATTTTGTTTTCGAATTCTTTATTTCAAAAAAAATAATAGAAGAATCATCAAAGTAATGAAATCACTGTAATATATGGCTTTTTAGTTTTATGTTTTATTATGCACAGAAATTCAGTCTGTGCAGAATGTTCTACAGGAAAAAAAACATTTAGGAAGTTTAATCATATTCATACTGAAGCGTACAAAACAAATTGATAATAAAATATACACATAAATAAATAATGGTGCATACCGCACCATAACAGTGTCACCAGTATAGTGTTTTTTTTTCTCCGTTGAATTTTTCAATGAACTAATGTTATGAAAATATCTGATCTTATCTAGTGTGAATCCAACTGCAGATGCTAATGATTTATTCCTATTACCTAAGCCTTATCTTTATTAAATAATTTTAAATTCAATGACGGTTGGATTTTAAATTTAAGGGAACCAGTAAAAATAATTATCGGTGTGAGAATATTATCTCCTTCATCATGATAATTTAAGAGTGTTTCTACTGTTCCAATTTTAGACCGAAATCACATATTAATCGAAGTAGTTTTTTTTTAAAAAACTATTTTTCGTGTGTCTAGTTTTTAAAATATAAAGATGTTTTTTTAAAAAAAAATTGAAAATCAAACTACTATTGGTCACAATTTAACGGTCTATAAATGAAACACTTGAATACAACTTGACACAGGCTACTGAATAATAATCAAACTGCACATTTGATACGCTTCAGTAGACTAATGCTGACAATCGGATCAACGAATTGGTAAAACTTTCGATCATAGCATACAAATGAGTCAACTTTCTATGTTGAAATAGTTCAAAATTGATACTGAAAGTTAGTTGGGGAATTGTCTTCTAGAGACTAAAATTAGAAATGTAAATCACTCAATGTCTACTAAGTTGCATAGAGGTTAAGCTCTTGCTTCAAGAGTTGCGTGTCTCGAGATCAGTCGTAATGAGTTGGTGGATGTGGATTACTGAGTCTCATGCCACGATGAATCAGCCTCCTGGTTTTTAAAAGCTGTCTAATCAATCTATCAATAAATCTATGATATTAACTGCAGAAAAAAACTTGATGAAGTTAATATAATCTGAGTAGTGTGATCAGGAAAATCATTCTATGATGGCAACTAATATCCAAAGTTTGGAAACAACCTTCTTAGTTCATTTCTTACTTCATCCAATATATATATCCTCTAAAACTGAGCACACAAATTTATGCTTCGTTCCTATCTTACACAACAAATATAACATTATTCAAAGTGCAGAATATTTACAGAACTATACTTACTGATTCATTTTCTGGTGAAATATAAACAGGACGTGAACGTTTACGTTTTGTTGACACTGTGTAATTTGGTGAAGAATACAATAGTGGGGGGGGGGGGGGGGTGGGGAATTCATATTTTGTTGTTCAATAGAAGAGAATGTATGACTAGTTGATTGATTATTTGATCGCATGTCTAACACACAATTCATAGCATCATTTGTTTTTATACTTTTGGTTAAGTTGGAATTATAATCAACAACATTACTACAACTGTATGCACAATTATTACCGTTTATATAACCATTATTATTATTATTATTGTTATTATTATTACTATTATTAGTCGAGCTAGTAGTAATTGTGACGCCAGTATTATCAACAATATTACTTATAGATGTAGATGTTGTTGTTAAATCCAATGAAATATCAGTCATTTCTTGGTTTTTCATTTCTATTGCTTTATTCATACCATTGATCATGAAAGGCAGTGTATTCTCGTAAGAAAATTTCTCTTGTCCCAATGATGGATAAGTTAAATTAGGGAATAAACAAGATATATTATTACTATTATTACTATTATTATTATTATTAGGTGAAATTTTCGACATCAGTTGATAACTGCCAACTTCACTATTCACTGATGATAATGACAATGAGGGTGGTGATGATGACGTTGATGATGATGACAAGGCAGTAGTTTTTCCTCCATCTTGTAAAGGTTTAATTGATTGTATCTGTTGATGATTGATCAAATTCATCCCAACTGATGTCCCAATATCGTTATTTAATTGAAAGAGTGACGAGAAATTATTCAATGTACTTGTTATTGGTTGAGATGTTGCATCACTACTTAGTTTTGCATTATTTGCATCTACAGACATGGAATTGTTAATATTTGACCAATTCATTGCAATTTCTTCATTAAATCTTTTATTTTGATTATTTATTAAACAATTCATTGGAAAAGTATTATTATTATTATTATTATTATTATTATTATTATTATTATTCTCATTACTGAGTGGATTTAAATTTGATGCATTAAAACCAACAGTGTTTGTTTTAGTTTTCAAACTTTCAGAACAATTTGAATCTGCTGATGTTACAACATTGGTAATACCAGTGTTTAACTTATTCAATTCATTTCCTATTGTATTCGGATTTAAATTTAATAAATTGAACATAACACATGGATCAATTAAATTATTAGGATAATTGGGAAATTTCCCATTTGTTAAACTGGTTAACCAAGCATTTGCCATTCGTAATTGTTGTTGGTGTTGTTGTTGCTGTTGTTGTTGTTGAGGTGATACTGACGGCATGATTGTTTTTGGTAATTGACTAGTAAGATGATTTAACTGATTCACTTCATCAGGTCGATTCATTGTTGTCCCATTATTCATACCACTATTTTTGAGATTGTTAGTGGTAGTTTCATTTAACAAATTATTAACAGATGGAATCAAATTAACAAAATTTCCCAAAGCTGACATCATCATATCTGATGGACAATTTAACACGGATAATGAATTAACACTATCAGTATTCATTCCTGTTGATGGAATATTAGAGGAATTTGTTGTTTTATTCAGTTGTGTTATATTAAAAATATTCTCATTGTTTTCACTAGTCAAATTCACGAATTTTTCTTTATCCTGAGTTAAATTTTGCATGTTCAATGATAAATTAGTAACTTCATGACTGCTACTATTACATGGATTCATCAAATTCAAAGATTGATCATTCACTAGAGTATTATTTGGATGTAAATGATTGGCTTCTTGAATTTTATGTGTACTTCGCATATTCGATAAATGATTATTTTGTGTGTTCGCATTTGATTGTCCGCCACCACTACAACCACCCGGTGATGTGATACTACGATATCCCAGAGAATTAGTAGGCGACGAAGAGGATGATGGTGATGACATAAAGATAGTATTAGGCAATGTAGTGGCTGTATTTGTCGATGTTTCAAATGGACTATTTACATTGCTCAAGCCCAAACCAGAACTGGACGATGGTGATAATTCATGAATAGCTAGTGTTGTTGACAAAGGTGTTGTCAATCCAGCTGGACAATTGATATATGGTGCATTCATGGATAATTGAAATGGCATATTTGGCAATCCGGTAATATTATTCAGTAGTGTAAAAGGTGTATTTATAGGATGTGAATCATTTATCGGTATTTGCCCTATTAATGCAGGTGATGCGAAAAATGACGGAGATGAAGTTGCAGATGGTGATGATGTTTGGTTGGTGAAACTTCCATTCAGTCGATTTTCACTTTTTGTTCCACTGACTGTCGAACCAGATGCTGCTGCAGCAGCTGATAATAACATTTCATTTAAGAAAGCTTTCTGTTGATCAGATAATGTTGTTTGATAATTAGTCTGAAAGATTTATAATAATAAATAGGAGAAAAATTTAAGAAACGATCTATTTATAGTTCATTTGTATCGGTACATCTAATCTTCTCATCAATAGTTAAGGTTACAGTTGATCTACCTCATGTGGTATATGTGCATTCCGTATGAATTACCTTGATTTAGCCATTAGGTTACAAGTATTATAAACATAGATGGAATCAGTCTCTAAGTTAATAATATGATGACTTTTGAAGCGGGCGATACCAGGTTCGTGTCGCGCAGTGAATATCAACTCTAGGATGCACATGCATCCAGCTGACAAGTCCCAAATAGAACGTAACACACTCAATGGATTCTGTAACTAGCCACTATTCATCTCTGTTTATAATATCTGTCTTGAAATAAAAATGTTAGTAATACAAATACATGCTGATTTATATCAAATAAACTAAAAAATAAATTCAATTTCTTTTTTACCTGATCAATTACCTTCAAAAATGAACAGTGAACCTACTGTCATTCTGATTAAAGTTGATGCCTGTATTGATAGCGAACTCATTTCTCTTGTTCTCAGTGACAAAGATTTTATCCATCGTACTGTGAAGCTATTCTTGTTTTTTTTTAAGTTTTACTTATTCAGTTGAGCTTATTATTATAACATTTAAATGATGAACAACCATATATCAATGAAGATTTCTATTCAGCATGATAACCATGTATTATTATGACCCAGTATCACAGAAAGGTTTACTATCTATATAAATTTCATGCACACAGAGTGTTTTGTATATTGCTGCACAGACACACAAGATGTTTTGAATGTTGTTTGTAGTTTAAAATGTTTTCTAAGCGCATATTATCAACCAAATATACCTTCAACACTTTCTGAGATCAGACCGACGATAGAGTAGTTTTTGGTTAGTGGAAAAAAGAAAATCTGGTTATGTGGGGTGAGTAAAAAGAGATAATTATTTTCAATTTTTTTTATAATTTCTTCAAATAACTAGGTGTCAGCAAAAGTAAACAAACACACACAGAATAACATTTACTTTTTAATACAAACTTCCAATTTTATTACATATATAATATATATGAGGAATAAAAAAAAGAAGTTTCCGGCAGAATCGCAGATTGTTTTGTGAAGTTATCAATGTATTTCAATCTACTTTTCTTAAAATAAGCATGAATAAGTAGCCTAAATAAGTCGGAAATCCATTTAAACAAAAACTAATTTTGTTTGAAAGGGAAAAATAAAAAATAAAAATAAACATTTCGTTTGACCTCGTTTCTTTCTTATGCTTAATTTTCCATTCTTTATACCACATCTCACTAATGTCTTTTCAATATTCTTCCTGCGTCTGCCTTTCATTATCTATGAGAAACTATATTTCGAAAGTCAGCTGAAGTCCTTACTGACTCTCTCTCTCTCTCTCTATATATATATATATATATATATATTCTTGCTGACGCTACCGTACATATATATTGGTATCACTACCCCTTCATTATTTTATGATAAAACATATTTACGAGATAGTTATATGAAGTACATTTCCGCTTGCAGTGTAAACTGCTCATATATTAAACACAAGATGCACGACAAACGGCATAATATTAGTAATAATAATAATAATAATAATATTAATAATAATAATGTGGTAAATAATAATTCGTAATAATATTCTAAACAAAAGAAAAAAACAGCTTGTTACTTTATTCTTTTCACAAGGATAAACGGTTCTGTGAGAGAAAAAAAAGTTCATTTAATTTAACATACATGTGGCCTTTTTGTTTGATTGAACAGAGAACTAATGCACTCGAGATAATTCATATGATTACTGTTGAAATTAGTGGAATTTCTAATATCAGAATAAACTCAATACATATTCACATATACATACATTTAATGACCAGTTAGTTCTCTTGTATGAAAATTGACAACGTCATTCTCTGCATAAACGTCTTTTAACATGATATTTATCTAGAGATTTCTTTTCAATGAAATTAAGACGATTCAAAGTATGCTTTTGAGTTGAAATGTATATTTTACTTCTAGACTTACAAATTTCATAAACAACGCTAGTTGTATTCAATTATTTTAAACTTGTTGTCAGTAGAAGAACGTTTTCTTAGCATTGAAAATAAATGTATTTATAGTGAAACGTTATTGTGGAACACGAGAAATTTGTTCAGGTTAAAATAATGACAAACTATTATCTGATTTTGTAGAATACTGGTTTAGTCTTTGAAACACTCTCTGTTAAATCCCAGGTTCAAAGCCCGTTTCGCACACTCTTATCTGAATAACCGGCTAATCACATTAGCCTTCATGCTGAAAGTGATGCTCAAAGCCAAGTACATAAATCTGTACTTGGTAAATAAGCCTACAAATAAACTAGACAGGTTTATATTTCTTATTACGAAAAATGTGTATAGTTATATTTTGATGAATTTTCATAAAGGAAAATAGGAATTCTATCTAGTGCTTAAAAAATATTATTAACAGTGGTTATGTATCAGATTCACATTAAATAATTACCGAATGAACGTCATTTTACAGTCATCATCAGATTGACTTAATATTAATTAAATGTTACTGATGATAAAGACTAACAGAGCTAAGAAAACTTTCGTTTAAGTTCGTTTTCATCACAATACCATAATTATTATACACAAAGCTAACTTAAGACTTGACAACTGTTTCATTTCTTTCAATAGTATTATACTATGCTGACTAGAATCTCATGAGAAGCATACGTTCTCTATAGATTAAAGTTTTCTTGAATAGTACTATGTAAATGTAGTAGTCCCATAGAATAATGCTTAAGTGTGTTTCATACTTTGTTTCCAGTATATTAGGTAGGAAAATGACAAGTGCCAATGACTGTTTTACCAACACAAAATAATCAATGATCGACTCGAACTTTGAAAAAAAACAACGAAACATCTCATAGTAATAATATGGAGAGTTTGGAAAAGTTTGATCATCTTTTTAACTGGATTTCAACACAACGTGAAATTTATACAGTAGACAATTTTATTCGATGACTCTAACTTTCATGAGCGATACATTTTAGATTAGAAATCCAAACATTATCCTTAACCCCCAGGTTAAACAGTTTCATATATATGCATAAAGCAATAGTCATCACAGTCAATTTGCTCATTCAAAGAGAATGATGAGTAAATAAGTAACTAGAGGATAAAGTGACGGATGTAATGAGGACAAATCTTAAGGGAACATAAATTATTCGAACATTATATAAGAATCAAATCCATTTCGGATAATTCTGGATCAGATGAAGTCAGTGTTTAAAGAATCATCCAATGTTCAATAGTATGATAGTCATTTTAACTAATCATATTCAGATAACATGATAAGAAATATACACAGTTTAGAATTTAAGCGATGAATTTTTTTTTGAGCCTTGTATAAATAAAGAGAAAACAAAAATTACAGGTTCTAGCATGAAAAAAAAAACGTCAAATAACATACTGAATCATAAGTTGAAGTTCATATTTAAAATCTTATTTTGGGAACAACTATTCATTTAATTGACCGAAAAGCTGTAAAACATTAGTACTTTTGAAATTATTTTAAAACAAAAGACAACTGTATTCATCACATTCAATGTTTTTTAAAACTGTCATATACAATTGAGGTAATTGTGGTCATATTTCAAGATCACAAAATGTTGGTCTGCATACATATATATATATATATATAAACACATTTAACGTGGTGTAGATTAAAAGTCCATATACTTTGTATATTTTTTGTTAAACACATTCTAATATAGTTCGATATATCACTTTAACTGTCATTTATAATACTACTCTCTATCTAATCGAGTTAATGAACTACGTTGATTCTCCTATAAAAAAAAAAACAAATAAACTTGATTCACTTAGAATTGACGAGAATATTCTCGTTGACTAAAATGATGATGTGATGGTGGAGGAAAATGGAAGTCTTGAACTGTATTTACGTTCATATTCATCCTCTCTCTCTCTCTCTCTCGCTCTCTCCGTCTCTCTCTTTCAAATATTTACGTAGTGAACAAATGACAAGGGATTGAATAAATGATGGGAGGGTATATACTATCTCGTTTCATTTTGTTTATATGATACTTAGTTTTATCGAACGTTTCATTCCAAAAAAAAAACTTTGTCTGAAGATTATTACACTAACACTAGGATATGTATGCATAGATTTGATTTATTTTAGCGTGAATTTCGTAAAATACTGAGAAGTATGTTAAAACAATCATATATATATTTTTGATAGGTTTCTTTTCTCTATTAATCTTATTTTGTCGTTAAACGTTTTTGAAACCATTTAAAATTCAATTTAAGTTTTTATTTTTAATAATTGGACATTGAGTAAAATAAAAAAACGTTTTTAAATAATGATGAATACTGTCATCTTGATTTAATGCGTTTAATTTACGATCATAATATGAAAAAGTGTGTATTCTAAATTGTATACATCCTTAAATATATAAATGTATGTATATGAGCATGTGTTTATAATGCATGTGGAAAGATTAAAGTATCAATTCAAAATCTAGTATAGTTCATAGTTTAAGTTTAACTTTGAGAGATGACTTTTATGTTGTAGACATTTCCAACTAAATTAAAATAAACTGTCATTAGTGCGTGCTACTTATTTATTTATACATCCTAATATGTATTTTAGTGACAAAATGAATCTCGATAAAATTGTAAAAAAATACAACTAACGATGTTCATTTTAGATTGCATAAACTCTGAGGTGTTACTTGGTGGTAGTCGATGGTAAACTATAGCCCTAACACGATACTGAAGTCTAGGGTTTCCTATTGACTACTTTCAACCAGCTCCTTACATCTCAACATAGTGCAGGTAATGTTGAATCATTGTAGGTGTAACAAAATATCAGATTCGTCCGTTGATCATAATAATTGTTCACTTAGTCTGTAAATCACAAACAACCTATTGACTAGTAAAATGAACGTTAACCTAAGTTGTCAAAATATACATCAAGGTAAAATCAACGATATAAATAGAAGAGTAGTCAAAATCATGTCGTAGTTACGATGATTAAAAGACTAAACATTGAGAAGCATTGATTTAAAGTGGTATACTGAAAAATGAGTGTATATGAAAGAATGTTGGAACTCGTGATCTCTCTAAGCGTAACAATTTCACTGGTAAAATGACTGAAATATAGCTTTTATCAGCGGTTAATAATCAATTCGAAAAAAGGAGAGCAAACAATTATATCACTACAATTTAAGACACATCAACAATGCATACTTATAGTGTATTTGATTCATGGAGAGACAAGTACTCCTCATGTGTCAAAAACAAACTTTTGTAATCACCCTTTTGAGAATCAAACTATTGCTCAGTTTTGTCTAGGTACTAAAAGTAGAACTGTAGAAAATCCTTCCTTCTAAAGACTAATTTTTAGCGCCAACGAACACTTAAATGGTGAACTGTACAATAAAGTTAGAATTTCCATTATCACTTTACATTAACTAACGATTTTAGTGGTAGACTAGATTTAAGTTTAAAGAGTTCAAACCTTTAGTAATCAAGTTACTTAATTTTTAAAATAATAAATTTGAATAACCACTAGATTAGATTGAATCTAAAAGAGGTCAAACAATATTAGTTAATAAATAAACATAAATTGTTCAACGCAAATAATCTGGTTGTGTTATGCTTCCATTCTCAAAGAAGTTATCCATTTAAATCGGATAGATCACTGAACATGTTACATATGTCTATGTATGAGATGAACTGGTCATTTGCTTTCATCTAAATAAACCTCATTATGTGTATACCTGCTTTTTTAAGCTATAAATCATCCACCTGTTTCAATAATTAACCCTCATTTTCTAATTGAAATCATAATGTTTAGATGAATTTCTCAAATTATCATAATCATGATACAAATTGACAAGTGTTACAGAAAAAAAGGAATATTTATGTAGAGAGAGAGATCAGATAATAATAATAATAATAATAATAATAATAATAGTAACAATAATAATATAACATTACACTTTATGATGATCTTAAGATAAGTTAATGTCAATAAAAACATAAGTTTTCATTGATATTAGAAATATTTGTTCCGGAAAAGGTCATATTAGTGAAATGCACATAGACAATAAAATATAAATCATCTTAAAAGTAAAATAAACAGTAAAATAAAGAGACCAAATTCATTGTTATGAAGTGATAATTTGAAATCATCATATACAATCCGAATCCAGAATCAAAATAAACTAGCGCAAAAAACGGAAAAGACAGCGAATTTCAATCAATTGTCGTGCTACTGAAATTAAGACTCTTAGTCTTAGACTCAGCAGAATTTCTATTGAAGCTCATTTACTCCTACTAACCAGGGATTTATTTAGCTAATTTCATTTCATTGGACTGGTATAATGTTGAAACTTGCATCAGTGCATGTAACTGTTAGGTTCTACCTTATTTTATGACCGACTATCAGACTGGACTGACTAATTCTTTATTTCTATAGTAGTAGGGATTAATTAATTATGTTAATTACAGTGAGTTATATATTAAATTTCATGGTAATTCTGGAAGTTTTTCCGAGTGTATTTCAATGCTGATAGTTTGACTGACTTTTTTTTATCTGCAGATCGACGATACTATCTAGTTGTGCCAACTAAAATAAAGGCAGGAGGTTTCAACTTGTAATGATAGTGAATGTCATTATGACTTTCAATCACCGACTAAGTTCAAATGACAAAAACACCAATCGGAATGCATTTCAGCGCCAATAACCTTGAATCAACAGCTACGTTCTTATTGGTCTTGCTCTTCCCTGCACCTGAGTACAGAAGTCAGAACCAATCTTCACCACATTTGTACTTCAAACAGATGTAGTTTATAAACAAACAGACTAGGATGCATCACACCAAAAATACAAAATAACAACTGCATATGATTAAGCTCATAAGTGGTTGTGAACCGAAAGCCTGTAAATAATCAGTAGGGAATAAACTAGGAATAGTAAATCGTATAACAATAGTTAATGAGCCAAACAGAAGATTATGATAAAAGGCATTTAAATATATAACAATCTAGTTCTAGAATAAGCAGTTAGACATTAACACCGATGGATGACAACTAAGTCGTTTAGTGGTTAAGCGTTCGGGAGCAAGACGGAAGGTCCTGATTCCGATTCTAGATCTCAAGGGTCACGGGTGCATATTGCTAGTGAGTCTGATACTAGGACAAAACGTCTGTCCAGTTTTTCCAGGTTTCTAATGGTTGTCTACCATTGAGTGATTGATGATTTCAACGAAACAATGATAATAATTACAAATAACTGATTTGTTGAAATATTGCAGTATGTGTAAAGTTGAACTCAGCATGCTGCACACTAGATAACTCAGTTTGAATAATTCATATGTGATTACAGCAGATTTTTAATAAAAATGTAGAATTTGATAAATCATCTGTATAAATAATTTTAGAATTTCGACTGTTCTAATATAAATGGATTAGTTTAAATTTCAGTTAACGTAAAGAAATGTACAACAACATGTCTAATAAATAAGGATCTAAGTGCTTTTCAATACAGCTGATTATTTGTTATAAATTTCAATAATACTGTTAATTAATCAAACAAATACAAATAAAATAAGGTTAATTAGTTTATAATTTGATATATTTATCAATCAATAGATGAGGGATTTCATTAATTAGTTAGACACTAATGTATAAATTTCTTGAATTAATTGTCGTTGATTGAAATTAACAATGAGACTAGATGATAAAATAATTATATCATAAATAGTTTTGGATAAGTTAGTGAACTAAATAACGGAAATAATTCGCGCGTGATACCGAAGGTCTTTGGTTCGATTCTCATAAGTGGGAGTCGTGGATGTGCACTACTAAAGAGTCCCATACGAGGGCAAAACGCCTATCCAGTGCTTCCAGGTTTCTAATGGTAATCCAACAACGATTGACTCATGGTTTCAATGAAATTAGTTATCGAATACTGATAACTAGACAATAGTTACGAATTGACCATTTGAGACGTATATATGTTATAACACCTACTGAAGTTAAATGAGATTTTTTATGCGAGTAAGAAATAATCTAGTATATAAAAGTAGGGATTCACTATTGTAGATATTCACTATATAGTATAATACTGTCAGCCTAAGATGCAGTCGGAAATAATTAACACAGAAACAATATTTATCAAAGTCATAGAATAGTTGTATCAACAATCGTTTCTTTAGGACGGATACTTTACGATTATTTTACTTTTCTACTGTTAACTAAGTGTTAATGTTTCTTATTTTCCAAAAATGATCGCTTGTGAATTTAAAACAGTAAGATTATTATAGCCTCGAAAATCACTGTCACACCTTTTAGGCTTCAAATCATTCACGACATTAAAATTTCAGTGCAGTCAAAACTTAAACAGTAGATCTCTATTAAAGTTTAATTGACTACAGTAATATTTAAAAATTAATAAGTTAGATTTTCACGAGTCATATTTTACTTCCGTTTAAGTGGAACTTAAATTGTTTCATGTAAGAGTACTATACTAAATGCTGTTAGTTTTAGACACAGAAAAATTAAGTATATTTTTTTAAGAGATTAAATCTCATAGATCAACATTAATGGCAACTTGAACTGACTTAATTAAGTACCGTGTTCTATGTTATAGTATAAAAAAATTTTTTTTTAATTTCTGAAAACTACATCAAATCACAAGAATCTAAACTTACAACTGGATAAACTGCATTTCCTTCCACTTTTAAATGACCATTCGTCATTGTATCTTGAGTTACAAAATCCACATTCTCATTTAATTTGGAAGAGTGCATTGTTTTTTGTCTTCTACCTGATCCTGGAGGCCGTCCACGTTGACCGACTGATAGTGTACCACGACCGTATTTATTATTACCATTTATAAGATTTGTTGATAGATTTCGTGTAATTTGTATATTTTCATTAAATGAATTGATTATTTCATTATTTGCCATTGTTGGATTACTACTGTTCACATTAGATGATGATAATTTACAATCATTAGATGATAACATCATATTAGTACGTAGTTGATTCTTTCTCGAATCTCGATTGAATCGACGTAATGTCTCTTCTTGTTCAGCAATTTCACCATGTCGACTTTTTAAATGATTTAACATGGTTGTTGTTGTACCAGATGCATTAAAAGCTAATTGACTATCGCATAGTATACATTGTGTTCGGCTACGATCTGGTATACCATGTTTGATTTCAGGATGATGAAAATATTTCCATACAAACGACTTTTTAGCGCATGCTTTCGTAGTGGTAGTAGTTGTAGTTGTTGTATTTGTCGGTGTATCAGTACTAATTGAACCACTGGACGATTTGTTAAGTTTTGTTAATTGTTGATGACAATTTGATGATTGAGTTTCTTTAAATTGTTGTTTATTGTTCACTCGATAACTATTCATAGAGTTATCATCTTTTTTTATGTCATCCGTTGTATCCATTTTAATGTCAGTCGTATTATTATTATTATTAGATAGTGTTTCGTCAGAATTATTTTTCACATGGTTGTTTTCATTTTCAAGATTACAAGGAGAATGTTGAACACTGAACTGATGTTGATCAAGAGTTTCGTGATGTTCGAATTCATGCTGATTGGTTACCTTCTGTGATTGATCATTTGACATGAATGATATGTTGACTTCATCTAAATTTTCGCAAGAATCACCGATATAATTTTCATTATCTACTGATTCATCCATTTGTAATGTATTGTCCATTTCATGTCCTTTAATTGTCATTATTGGAAGGAGAATTTGTGAATCTGTCATTAGCAGATGCAATTAATTATTTTGAAAATTTAGTTAATGTGTAAGTGATATTACGAAATTTATGGAAGAATATACATCGATACAAACGTAACTGATGTAAATGTGTTAGATAATTCGATAGTTGAAGTTGAAACTGATTTTATTCGGATTTTTAAAGTTTCGTAGCGAAGTTAGTATCTTGCAATGCTTTGACTACCAATATAAACTCACTCTTCTTTTCTTTTCAGGTTGTTTTTTTGTTTTAAAAATGAAGAGACGAAGTTGACGAGTACAAACCTGTATGATATACACCCCCATGCCCACTTTCTACCCCCACATTCGCTTAAACCTCGAACATTGGCAATTTGGAGTTGAGAGGTAGACATCCGACCAAAAAATTTGAGTTGGACAGGGCAGGTAAATCGGTGTGTGATTTGGCCAAACAATAAATTTTGTCTTTCTTCATCTAAAACCAATGAAATGGTCGAAACATTTAAGTTCGCTTTTATTGCGAATGTGTACCATCGTCCCCTCTCTATATAAATAACACTAAGAATACAGCTTATGTTGAATCGATGTTTTTATCGAACCATTCAGTCCCCTGCCATGGGCCATACGATTATTGGTTTAGTAAAACATTTCGTTTCATTTCATTGGTTGTTTTGTTACAGTAGCTCGAACTGATTGGTCTGTTCCTACTGGTCGGATTGTTGGCCTAGTAAGTTTAATCAGCAAACAACTACGCAACAAATTATGTGATAATGATTAATTGCTGTCTTGCTATCCACAAATAGGGGAGAAATCAGTTTGTGTCTCTATTTGATTTGTGTTGGTTCAAACAACGTAAAAGACACATGACTTCACACATGAAATGGTAAATAAAAGAGATGTATTTAGTATGTTCAAGGAGTGTTATTTGTAAATTGGTTTCCTCCTAATGACTATTACTCATCATCAGTTAGACTAACAAATATATAGGGCAATGGATAACAACTATGGAAAATGAGATAAGGTGTGTTATGACATCATGATAGATGACACAGTAAGTGTACTAACAAAATTGTCAGAATATCGGAACTATCAACCAATGTGAAACATGCCTAGTGAGAAACTACTTTCATTACATAACCAATCACTTTCAGTGATATTTTTTGGATACAGGCAAACTTAGATTGAATGCTTTCGGTCAGTATAAGGTGTAATAACTTCAATATCAGGCGTTTAAATAAAATTATGATAAACACATTGTTGAACATAATATTTTCATAGAAGTATATATTGCTAAAACAGATTTGCTTAGTATGAATAACGTAAGCTTCACTCAGTGGATTGCTGATTAATGAAGAAAGTTTAAGGAATTTTCCACTAACAACACGATTCACATAGATGGCTTTGTACTAGACATTGAAACAAATTGCCCGATAGTATCCACTAAATCTGCTTAAAAGTTTATTACCCTTTCACCAAATAAGCCATTAACTTTTTAAAAAGCAGATAAATGAAGATAGATCATAGTTTTAATCACATATTAAATAGAACTAAAATGCTTTTTTTCCAGAGGAAATAATAAAAATAACCGAAATATACAATTTAATACTTGGTAGTAATTTAATTGATTATTGAGAACAATTAACTTTCTAGGCAAATATCTACCGAACATGATTGTTATGCAATTAATTTTTATAAATTAGCAAACCAGTGAGAAAACTATAAACAATAGGTAATTGATTAATTGACAACCACGTGAAATAATCAATCACAAGGGTTTCAAGTATTATACATTTAAACAACAACATTTAAACAGATCTAATCTACTGGTTAACATTTGCAACTTAAATCAATTGGTTCACATAATCTAATTGAGTCGGCGAAATACATATATTATTGAAATCATGAACCAATCATTAGGAAGAAATGAGGAAGCACTGGACGACCGTTTCGTCCTGGTGTGGAACTCATTAACAATGAGCATTCACGACTCCCGCTGCTCGCAGAAATAGAACTCAGAAGCTTTAGCCTTGCACAAGCAGTCGTGGATACTCACTACTCATGAGTCCCATATCAAGACGAAACGGCCGTTCCAGGTTTCTTCCTAATGGCTGTCTAACAATGATTGGTTCATGATTTCAATGATATATATATATGTCACCTACTCAATATATATATATATATATATATATATATATATATATATATATATATATATAATATTATTCATTATGAAAATAAGGGATATGATACTACCTACAGTAGAAAATTCTTTACACATTAAATTTAGTCTCATCTTGAATTGAGATAGTCATCAATAACACAACTAAATGGATGTTATCCTATATACAGAATCAGTTGAAAACAGAAAATTGAACATCATGATACCAATTCAGTGTTCTTCCTGTGAAAACTGAAGATCATTGATCCAATCCTTGAGGGTTCTGCATCATTACAGTGTTCCAGTGAAATTTCAAAAATACTAATTCGTAACAGATATGGCCTACAGATGCAACACGGTCTCCATAACAAGTCTTGTTCGTAAAAAAATCATAATAGTGTTAAAACAAATATTTAATTAACAACTACGACTTACTGAATTAAATTTATCAATGTCAACTGATTTCTTTAATGCATACATATTTTACAAGGGTGATTTCGTAAGATTTATTGATAAATTTTTCCGCGTCTTTTGGGCTCAACTTACAGGTTTAATGTTGAAACTGTTTAGTCTGAAAAATTTCTTGCTCAAAAAAATATTCCTTAGAATAATTTTTGATTGAGAAATTACACTTACTTACTTACGCCTGTTACCCCCAATGGAGCATAGGCCGACCACCAGTTTTCTACAACCAACTCTGTCCTGGGCTTCCCTCTCCAGTTCTGTCCAATGTTTGTTCATTCCTCTCATATCTTTCTCTATTTCTCGGCGTAATGTGTTCCTTGGCCTTCCTCTTTTCTGTTTGCCTTGAGGGTTCCATGTGAGGCCTTGTCTCGTGACGCAGTTAGGTGCTTTTCGTAGTGTGTGTCCTATCCACTTCCACCGCTTCTTCCTGATTTCCTCCTCCACTGGAATATAGTTTGTTCCCTCCCACAGTACGTTGTTGATAATGATGTCTGGCCAACGAGTCCGAAGTATTTTGCGTAGACAACTGTTCACAAATACTTGTATCTTCTGGATGATGGCTTTGGTAGTTCTCCATGTTTCCGCTCCATACAGTAGAACTGTCTTGACATTTGTATTGACAATACTGATTTTGGTTTTGGTTGAAAATTGTTTAGAGTTACAGATATTTTGCAACTGTAGAAATGCAGCCCTTGCTTTGCCAATCCGCGCCCTCACATCTGCATCGGATCCACCTTTCTCGTCGATGATGTTGCCCAGATATGTAAAGATGTTAAAGTCCTCCAAAGAATCACCATCAAGAGTGATTTGGTTGGTACATGTTGTGTTTCATCTGAGAATTTTGCTTTTTCCTTTATGTATGTTGAGACCTACTGCACCTGAGGCTGCTGCTACATTGGTCGTCTACACTTGCATTTATTGTTGCGTGTGCGATAAAAGAGCCAGGTCAGTCCAGATCGTCCAGCTGAGTCCTAACTGTCCAGTTGATACCGTGCTTCCCTCCAGATGTTGACGTCTTCATAATCCAGTCGATCACCAGGAGAAAGTGAAAGGGTGAGAGAAAGCAACCTTGCCTGACACCGGTCTTCACCTCAAAAGAGTCTGTTAGCTGTCCTTCGTGTACGATTTTGCAGTTGAATCTATCACAAGAATTTCGTATGATGGTAAATATCTTCTCAGGCACACCGTAGTGCTGAAGAAGCCTCCACAGTGTTTTCCTATCCACGCTATCGAATGCTTTCTCGTAGTCGATGAAGTTGATGTAGAGTGGTGAGTTCCATTCAATTGATTGTTCCACAATGATCCGTAATGTAGCAATTTGGTCAGTACACGATCGATCATTACGAAATCCGGTTTGTTGATCTCGAAGTTGGGCGTCTACGAAGTCTTTCATTATGTTTATTAATACCCTGTTAAAGACTTTGCCCGGTATTGAAAGAAGAGTGATGCCTCTGTAGTTCTCACACTTGATGAGATCGCCTTTCTTTGGTATTTTGATGAGGTGTCCTTCTTTCCAATCTGATGGTACTTGTTCCTCATCACAAATCTTCTTGAAGAGGATTTGAAATATTTTCGCAGTTGCTTCTACATCTGCTTTCATTGCCTCTGCTGGAATGTTGTCTGGTCCTGCTGCTTTTCCGTTCTTGATTTGTCTGATGGCCATACTGATCTCCTCAATTGTAGATGCGCCAATATTAATTGGGAGGTCTGTGTATGCTGTTTCGATTTTGGGTGTGTTAAGTGGAGCTGGTCGATTCAGGAGTTCCTGAAAGTGCTCTACCCACCTATTTTGCTGTTTTTCAGTGTTGCTGATTACTATGCCTTCCTTGCTTTTCACTGGTCGTTCTGATTTACGATAGTTTCCAGCGAGCTTCTTTGTTGTTTCGTACAATTATCTCAAGTTTCCGTCTCTTGCAGCCTTTTCCGCCGTCTTCCACATATTTTCGTTTGTCGCCTCTGATGCTCTTCTTCACTTCCCTGTTTGCTTCTGTGTGTGCAGTTTGTGCGGTATCTTTCTCCGCTCTTGTTCGGCTGATGTTGATTGCTGCCTTCTTGTTCCTTCTCTCTTCAATTTTTGCAAGAGTATCAACGGAGATCCAATGCTTGTGATGGTATTTCTTGTGACCCAGAACTTCGTGACATGTTGAAGTGATTGCCTCCTTAATACCTTTTCAATTGTTCTCCAATGTTGTGTCCTCTCCATTGAGTATATTCTGAAAGGCCTGGAACCTATTGGTGAGGTCTATCTTGAATTAGTTGAGCTTTACAGTATCCCGAAGAAAGGCCGTATTAAACTAGTGTGATGTTGTCTGTCCCGTTGTCCAGTGCTTCTTTGGCGATAAGCAAATGGTGATCTGACGCAATATCAGCTCCTCTCCTGGTTGTCACATCCTCCATAGTCCTTCTG